AACAATAGCAGGCAGGATGATAATAATTGCCTGTCTAAAGAGCCTCTCTGTAATTATTTCAACCGTTGTGCTACATCGCTGACATGCAGATATTTCTTTCCGTTCTTTTTATGTCTCATAGTTTTTGCAATCTATTTTTTTTATAAAAGACATCTACTGAACTCATTTAATAGTGCCCTGTATCTGTACGTTTAAAAATGGAACTATAAATTTTACTAAAGACTATACATTTGTAATCCATTATATATATATAAAAGACTGTAAAAATAAAATAAATCAGTGGCGCTACAACCTCTTCAGGTCTTGGCCTCAGATTTCTGAATCTGTTTCATGATCATTTTTAAATCTAATAGGCAAGTAGGTGATCAGCCTCCAGTGCCTGACACACGCCGTCGACTTTTTGGGTCTAAGGCAAGCCGGTTTCCTCACGTTGTTTTCCTTCACCGCACGAGCGAATGTTAAATGCGCACACACATTGGTGCACGGCAGAGAATCGAACCTACGACCTCAGGGATGAGAGTCGCACGTTGAAGCCACTAGGCCAACACGGCTCATTGTTGACGACGGCTTCAGCAAAAGACTGTACTTTTATTTTTATATTTAGATCATTATTTGTTTAATATTTTTTCATTACAAATTTACGAAGATTACAGAGCTTAAAAAGTTACCTAATTAATTGTATAGCTAAACTTTAAACTACGCCGCAAGGTGCTACATGTATAAGTTAGCCATGTTAGTTAGAACATATAGATGCATGCTTGCGATAGTGTCAAAGAGGTGTGAAACCATTGATATTTGGCTTATTTCAAATAAATACATATTTAATTATTCTATTATTTTATTATTCGCTCATAAAAATAATTTAAACTACATATAACGGCATAGTATTACTAATCGACGTTTGTCTCTTTGAAATTGCGTTGAAACCATACTTATTGGTGTTCTTTTATACGGTTTACTTAGTCTGATATGAAGTTAGTCTCCCCACGAAAAGCACTAGAATCTCTGAGTTATGTAAACAATCCCATACATTCTCATTTATCAGTTACAGAAGTTTTAAAAGTGTAGTTAAGCCAAGACTATATACTTAGGTTTTATGAATAACAGGCTGTAAAATTCACAAGAGTTCAACCAGCATCAGAAGGAAGAAATGAAAAGATGATTTTAGGTTGAGTTCCACTGACTTTGACTGTGTTGACTGTGACCGATGTGAATGCTAGCCGCTCTCGAACTTTCGAAGCTTTAAGTAGGTTTGTAAAGAAAATGCTAACCAAGAATAGTGTTTCAACACACTTCTCACTGACAAACTAGGTACTCGTTAATATAAAGGAGCTTCACGAAGTTGCAGTGTCGGGAATGCACGCTTACTCTATTTGAGGAACACTTCTTACAAAGAGTTAATTAAACCGTCACCTCAGACTCAACATTCTAAACTCTGCATAGGCGTCCATCAAAGCGTCTTATGCTTCAACTATCAAAGTTGTTGGAGCACACTATCACTTAATGATACCTCGTAGAGTTTGACATCAAAATTACCATTTATTTCATTTATATTTTTATTAATCGTGTGTTTTACAGCTTTTTGCTTAAAATAATTATACTATCCTGAATAACTTGAAAATTTCTTTTAGAATATATAAATAATAGGAAAAGCTTATGAACGAAGAAGAAGAAAGAAGATTATGAACGATCTTGAGATAAACTAAATATGCATTAACACACACTGGCCATAATAAAATAAAATAAACAATCCTTTAATGCAAGCAGCATTACCTTACAAACTAAATATAAAGTAAATGTGTCTTATGTAATATTTACTAATAATAATTACTATCTATTTTATGATTTATCGGCAATCGGTTATTTATTTATTTTACCTCTTGTCTTTCGACAAAGGTCTCGTCAAAAATTTTCCAATCTTGGCGTTCTCTAAAACCGAATCTCTCGATTTTCAGATCCACCTTTTTTATATAGTTTTTCATTTCCCTATCTGCCTTCTACTCCATTACGATTCTCTTACATTTTTGCTTCTTTTCTCTCATCATATGACCCGACCCGTCTATCTCTAGTTTTCGGTAGACACAAAGATACAGTAGAGATAAAGTAACTTTTTAATCTATGAAACCTACAAATTTTAAATAGAAAATAAAATGACTATGAGTAAATTTGTAATATGTCAATAACATTATTTTTCTTTCGTGATTTTTGTTTTAAAAATAAACAAGCCGGTTATCAATAGCTAATATTATGTTTTCATTAACAAGCAATCAATTCGGACAAAGGACTATTGTTTGGCCAAGGCCAGTTTAGGCTTGGCAGTAAGCCGGCCAGTGGCAGCTTGGATTAACATAATGCGATAATTGTTTAGGGATTTCTGTGCAACTAGCAACATACTCTGCTAAAATATGCACTCCGAATAAAGGTAACTTTATTTGGTTACGTGGAATGTAAACATGTTGCACGTTTGGATAATATTTTAATTTTGTTGAATCCGGCATCTCATTCTTTGATAATTCATATGTCGCCAATTTTTGGGTCTGAGACATGCAGGTTTATTTTCAAAACGTAAACACCGTAACGATTCCTTAAACGCAGGAATGGCGAGCCTTTTCGCAGCCTTTCCAGCCCATTTGTTCCCTTCCTAACTTAAAAAAGGCACACACGAAAATAACTTTCTAGCTAAACTGCTATATTTACTTTGTTTATAAGGTCAAAATCTCTAACGCGATACTTTACAAATAAGAAATCAGAATGTTTCTACGGTATGAATTAGAATTTGTATAAGGTTGTTTTAGATTTATTTAATTAGAAATAAAGATCTTTTAACACGAACAAGTTCTATATAAACATTGTATTTATTTAAAGAGTTCATTCTAGCTAATTAAATAATCAAGTGCGATGTTGTGAAAAAAGTATTCGTCGCAATAATCCTATTTAATCTAATATTTAAAAAAATACTTATTTTTTCTGGCTTCGCCTAACTGGGCGTTTATTTTTAAATTTGTAATTATTCTCCAATGAAAAATTTTAGAAAATTAATTGACATATCTTTGGTATTTAAGAAAATTTAACAATCAGACCCTGTAGGAACCTCAGACTTCCCATCATCCCATATTTTATCCTTCCTAAAACAACGCGTTTTGGCCAAAACTCACTGATATTCAGATTGAACATTCTGATAAACGGGCTAGGTCTGGATATCCATAGTTGCTGCCCTCACACTATGTAATTCATTTTTTATAATTTTTAAAATATTTTATAATTTTTTTGTTTAAATTTTTTTTTATCTCTTCGTGTAAGTAATGTCTATAAGTGCTTACCACATTAAAAATTGTATTCTATTTTTCTTGTACCAATGTATCAGTGTGCTGGGCGTTGGCAAGTTTTTTTTTAAATAAATAAAGTAAATACTTAGAAATGATATATGATAATGTCAGGAACAATGTAACAATTAATGGTGTAAGTATTTTTGAAATCGGTTGTCGTTTTTTAATTTAATCGTTAGAAAGCTACAAATATTTCCATTGTAAAGGAAGGAGGTGCTATTCCTCCGACTTAAAGAGAGTATATTCGATCAGTCTAACCACAGACCGCTCGGCTCCAGTGGGTAACGTCGAGAAGTTGTTACAGTCAAAACCGTTTATAACGACATCGTTTACAACGACCTATCGGTTATTACAACCAGATTGTATGGTCCCGTCCGAATCCCTAGTAAACTATTCAGTAAACAAACCGCTTATCATCATTACATCGGATACTGCGACATATCGCTTACAACGACGAAATTTTATCGATATTCATCGGCTATAACGACCGACCGCTTCTTGTCTCAGCAAAACAAAACAATACAAACGATTTTAAAGATCTTATTTATAAGCATTGAATGAATATTAGGCATATTATTACCTACGCACTTTCTCCCGCCTCATCCGAACCTCTTCCAGGCCATTTGACCTTGCATACTTTACACATGTTTAGTTCGGTAATTGACTGCGTGAGTAACAGTTTGATTTGAAAGTGTTGGTGTTGTTTAGACTGTGCAATTGTGCATTTATGTGTTATCATGTCGCAAAAAAGTGAAAAGTGTTTTCTATTGAATAAAAATCTCATGTCATATGGATAAAATGCAAAAAATATTTGAGACTGGGCTAAAAAAACACAATTGTACCTAATTATTTCGTAATAAATATTTTTGTTTATTTTTTGACTCCTTTACATATTATAATATGAACATACCATATTATAACCCATACCTACCTATTCTAGATAGATAACTATGATAATATAACTTTGTACATACATATGTACTGTTCTTTTGTATATGATATTGCTTATAACAACTATCGGATATAACGTCGGCAACTATACGGTCCCTTCAATGTCGTTATAAACGGTTTTGACTGTATATACTTAGCAGTCGGAATAACTTTGTTAGTCCGTTTCAGGATAATATTAGGTATCCCTCTTTATAATATTAAACTCCTAATAGACTATATAGATATAACACTTTTTACACAGGCAGGTTCTATTTGACCAATTGAAGGTATATGCGGAAAACTATTACCGTGTAATAGAGGCCATTATATCAAACACGGAGCTTCCTAAATCACCTGGATTACTACGTGTATCCATCTCTCTTCCACTTGTGATCAAAGGGATTACTAACTACATTCATCCCTTTCCCACCTGCTACCTTCATACGTCACGTACATAAGAGCGATTTAAGCCCGAAAATGAGTGTTTATTGCTAGTACTGAAGTTAGGGGCGACAACTACAGCTATTAATTTAGCAAACACCGGTGTAGTGGGATCTACGGCTGGTTTTTAAGCTGAAACTGGAGTTTTGGAAGGATTAAGGAATGTTGTATACTCCCTGTATTTAAAAAAATGATTTAATACAAAAACCATTATTCTATCAATTTTGAAAATTTATTTTTAATTAGTTTAAAAGCATTTTTACTACATTTATAAATAATTTTTTGTACTGTAAGTTATATCTTATGGACGAAGGATGGCGTACTATTCTTCCGACCGCCGATCCTCGACCAGTTAGACCACTGATTGACCCGAAGGCCCATCAGCTAAAGGGAACTGTGGGTTGGTAATTTCTCATGGCAGTTAAGTAATATAGCTGAATGTATAGTTAAATCGTTAATAACTCCTATTTACTTGATCTATGGATTTGTGTGTTATTTTATTTATTATTATAATCAGCTGTACCCGGTAGCATGTTCTTCGACTCCTCTCTTGTGGCATTCTAATGGTGAATTTTGGTCAGAGTATATTCCGTTACTCTTACAAAAATACAAATCTTTCTTCTATATCATATTAATCGGTATACATAAACTCATTGTCGACAACCCTGTGCTAAGCCGATTTGTGCTCTCCGTCTTTACATTAGGCCATAAATCTTTCGGTCCAGGTGTGGCTGGGGAGTTTATATAGCTGTTAGTGTAGGTCGAGTGTTTCCAGGATTTGCTCAATTTGTTGAGGTCGGCCTTTGTCTCTGCTTGTTTGTCCTTTCATTATTAATTTAGTCGCAACGGCACTTCTCACGCAGTTCATAAAAGTTTCAGCTACGGTCGTGTATGAATGGGTCTATACTGAGAATTGGCTTAGATAAATGCAGTTGGCGAATTACTGTTATAAAGGAATTTATTTAGTTTAACAAAGTTGGATGTTTAAATGTGTAGTTTTTAAATAGTTACCCGCCACTAGAATCTGCTGCTATTAAGGTTGTAGATTCAATATAAAGGATAGACTGCTCTTAGCTAGTCTGTAAATTACATGAAATGACATAGATTGTGATGTGTTTATGGAAAAAACATATCGTCGTATGTAATATAAGTGATTTTAACTGTAATAAATAATGAAATTGTATTAAATTTAACAAAAACAGTGACAAAAAAAGAATTCTATTCAAATTTTTAGCTAAATTCTTAACTAACTAAACTTTAAAAAAAAAATACTTAGACGCATTTCCGGCAGAAATCACTTGGAGGTGTTCCAATCAAGGTCCCCCAAGACTCCTGTTTAATCAGCATAATCAAATTCCTGTGACGTAATTCTAAATCCAACCCAGCCAAAATATTGATATTCTGTTTTTTCGAAACAGGCTCAGCAAAATTAAAATTCAAAATAGTTTTAGGATTAGACAGTTGAATACATATATAGATTTTTTGATAAAATAATAATTCTTTACAAATTATTTACTGCATTACGGTTTTTAAAGTAATCTTATTTTTTTTTGTTTATTCCTTTATTTTACAAAATAATATAATACAATCATAATATGTTACATTAGAAAACCGCTGTGGTTTGTATAAATGTAACCATAGCAATATTATAATATTACTTTTCATTACACGTGTTTATTATACTGTTTAATAGTTTATTATTAAATTGTCGGGTAATTTAAAATAAAGCATTGCATTTAAAAAAAAAAGCAAACCTCTCCAATAGTTATTATTAATTTTTTTTCGTAAATTCTAAATTAAAAAATATTAATTACAGTGTCGGAACAAGGCCCGCATGAGAAAAAGTTGCTAAACGCTTTACTAGCTTCATACAACACACTTGAACGACCAGTCGCCAATGAGAGCGAACCCCTCGAAGTTAAGTTCGGCCTCACGTTACAACAGATCATAGACGTGGTGAGTACCTTTCGAATACCTTTTATATGTAACACGCAATATTATATTAACATAATTTCTGATCAACGTTTAATATTTTCACTCGAATTAATAGAAACGGTTTAGCAGTTGAATCATACACTGCAAAATTGCTAGAATATTTGAATGAAAAAAAAAAAACGTTTTCAAAACTTTCGGTATATAAAACCTTTTTTTAAACTAGTTGAAACTATAGTATTTTTTTAAATCTAGCATGATTCTAAATTTTAATTGTTAAGAATGGTACAAAGACAAGTACCAATAGTACCTATCATAGAAAGTAATTAATCGGAACGGATTGTAATGAAAGTTAACATAGATAACGTAATCATGCATAGTATTCACATTTTAACGCACATTTACAATATAAAATATAATATTGCGTTTTGCAACGTGTTAATTATTATTTGTTTTAAATATTTTTCTGAGTGCTTTATCATAATTATATTGTAAAATTTCGTGGATTTTTTATAATAAAGCATTCAGATATGATTTATTTGTCGAGTAATTTTAAGTTATAAAAAAATCGAATCGTAATGACTCAAAAATATCTAAATCAATTTTTTAAAACATTAGGAAAAATGTCATTAAATAAAATTACCATTTTTATTAACCTTTAGCACGAACAGTAAAATCGAATAGTTAACAAATTATTTATATTAAATACGTCTATTTCAAATTGGACACCATGCTAACTAAAGTATCTCTTTTCATCACAGCATAAACAATTTGTTTAAACAATTTGTCAAATTAAGAAAGAATGAGGGAGTCACTTATAAGACTAATTTAGTTCTCAAAGTTTGTGCTAACGGTTTCAATTTCTTTCATAAAATTAAACGAACTCAAAATGAACGTCTAATTATAATCTTATTAAGGCTATGGAAGCGAGATTTTTTTGAGTTTTTATTAAATTCATACTAATTACTTATTTCGTTATCTTTATTACATACATCGTGTTAGTGCACATAAGTGTTAAGTGCTAAACAGTGGCAAGTTTATAATCTAAAAACACAAGAACGAAGTGTCTTCATATAGACTATAAGAAGTGTTATTGGACACTTTTGTATGTTTATTTTTATTAGATTTACTCAGTCTTAAGTAAAGCTACATTGTCCAATGAAGAGAGTTGCAGGACTCGAAACACTTCGCTCTACTAATACATAACAAGGCTTGACCCGAATACTTTCAATACATGGACACATTTTACATTTATACATAAGCTAAAATAGCAAAGGTAACGTCACTATAATAATAATCACAATTACTGTGAAATATCTTCAAAACAGTCCAATCAACTAAGAAATATAACACCCGGTTAAGGATAGTCCTGTATTCTGTCATGTCATTGTGCAACTGTTGAAATTATATCTTATTTACACTATTCAATCTTAGACAATCTTAGATGTAGAAATTAAAACAAAAATGTTCACCACAGTTGCAATCAGTGGCCAAACGTAAATGTAATTTTAAGTTTATTTATTTAGGTAGCTTATAATCAGAAAAAATGCCTTAATATAAGTATTGGTGAGTCTGTGCGTACGAATGTGTGAGTGTATGAGAGTATGTGTGACTGTTTACTCGATATTTCATTTTGTATATCATTATTGTGTGGCAATTGTTTCATTTAAAAGATCAATATGAGAAAATTAATTACTGTAATGGTCTAAATTCTAATTATGGAGGCGAAACGAGAGAATTGCACAAATAAGTTAAATTTCCGTAACCATTAAATAAAGATTTAATAGAAAGTTGGATAGAATCGTTACATATTCACTTAACGGATTCGTGTTTGCTGAGAACCAACAGATGTGATTACAAAATGGAAATTCAGTTTTCAATTCAAACATGTAGAATTCCATTATTTCTACCGATCACGGTATGAGGTTTCTGTAGATCTGTGGATTTCGTAATTATGGAGCTTAAAAACTTTAGCGCGTTTAATTACTATCTTTGTGAATTTTTACATTTTTCGATTTTATACATTGTAGCGTGGTTCAGTGGTGTGTCATGTCTCAGATCCTAAGCTCCCGAAGGTTTAATGTTTCAGATTAGTAGGATACAGGGATGATCGCCTCTTGCCTTTTACATTTCACTAGGCTGTCATGAGAGAAAAATAGTTACAAGTTAAGTTACCTTATTAATAAATAGTGGTTTATTTTTTAGGAACGATTAAATCATATGTGTGTGAATTTAATCATACCAAAATTTTGTAAAGATGAAAGAAGTCTTTTGCCACCTACATTTGCAATCTATATATTTTTATGTTATAATTTTTAAGAAAAATGTCATCTAAATATTTAAATAAAAACTTCTAAGATATAAAAATATTAAGGAACATTTATTTTACGACGACTTAGTCTTTTTTTCTAAATGTTTGTACAAAATGTATACTCGTTAAGGAGCCTGTATGCAGTATCGTAGTTGAGCACTTTAATCTCTTTGAGCCGAGTGCTCAAAGGCGGTGTCAACACGTCGAATGGAAACTGAAAATTCTGTTGGTTATGGTCAGAGTCCGAATAAGGCTGACCGTACCACTAAAATATTAGAAAAAAAAAAGGTTAAGAAAACATTACTATTATAGATTGTCTCTCTAGTACCAACTGTGAATTTGTGTAAGAATCTGTTATACATTGTAACAAGTTTCTACTTCTATTTGATTAAGATTTTAGACTTTATTAGGGCAAAAGAAATCTGAAATTTAAATGTTGGCCGACCTTTGTAGGTAGAACTGAAATATTGACAATCAAGTTACTTTTGTTTACGTTAAACTAAACGATTAGATTTGTAAAAATAATTTTCTAAATAGGGTTAATAGTTCTATAAACTAACAAATGTTTTTTTTTAAATTAAAATCTATTCAGGGCTTAATTCCAAAGGAATAGATTTTTTTCTGTAGAAACAATAGTATACAAAAATTTAGACCAGGCATGCTATAAAACATTGCCGCAATAATTTCTTTTGCGGCTTCCGCAACTGTTGGTACGTTCTCGTATATTCTGCCTTAAGCAGTGAAAAGCAAATGGTGAAATGTAAAAAGTTGTGAATTCTCTTGTGGAAATGTAGTATCGTGTCGAGTGGCTTACACGATGAAGGATTCTTTGTAAGATTGTTGAGCCGCGGGCGCTAGACGCGTTAAAGGCATTTTCTCTTGAAAAGATTTAGCTTTGCTCTTCGGAGCATGAAGATACGGTTTTATACTTATGTTAGACTTAACGAAGCTTTGTACCCAATGTTTAGTAGTCTCGGTCAAAACATTAAAAGTTAACGTCCATTTCATTTGCTTGGAATTAGACTTTCTCGTATATTTCACACACACACGTAACTAATGATTACCAGACTCGAAGGGTTGCCACTTCGATCGTGTATTCGAGAATCAAATAGGAAAAAAGTTTTGCTTATTACTGTTACAACTACAACATAAAATCAAAACCATGAGCAAGGCAGCACTTGGTTTATTTTTGAAATAAACTCCAAAATTTAGGTAATTTCTTAAACAATATAAAAAAATGAAGAGGTTTTTACATTTGTTTTTTTTATTAACTTTGTTTCATTTAAAAAAGAAAAAATCCTCTTGTCTTTATTGTCGACCACTTCTTTTTGATTGGCCGTGTGCATCGATTTTAAGGAAGTTATCACACAATGTTTATTATACAGACGTCAGACAATCAAATTTCATTTAATCAACTGAAATCGACCGTAGAACACAAATTTCCTTGGGTGGCTTTTTTTGCAAAAAAGTGTGTATAAATGTGTTTATTCCTATCCTAGTATAGATCAGTATCATTATATTTAAGTAAGGATATAAAGCGCCAAATAAAATTAAATTTGAACATTACATTCCAAGCCATAATATTAAAGTGTGCAAAAAGTTGTAATGTCTTTTTAAGTGATTCCTTTGAGCGGCGGGCAACGTTATTTTATAAGACGACTAACGGCTTGCATGAAATCGACGACGATATTAAACCTACTTTGTGCTTTCATTTTGCACTTTTGGTGCATCTCGCTTCCATAGCATATTAAATTCCCGGCAAGTTTATCGGCTAAAATATCAAGTAATTAAACAATAATTAAATGGAGCTTTAAACCCATAAAATGGGAAACATATTTATCAAATGTTTATTGTTTTCGTTCCTTGCGTCGCCGTGCGTTCGTTTAATAAAGGATGAGAAAAACCAAATCCTGACGACGAACGTCTGGCTTAACTTGGTAAGTGGTAGGTGGGTGCGTGCCTTCACCGTCCCGCCTTTGCTAACGATATTTTATCTGCGCACACTTCTTAACGCACTTTTTATCTAAACTCGCGCACATTTCTAAAAAACGGTTCAACGGCGGTGGCGGATAGAGGGCGCTGCCGCGGCAGCTCTGTCGCATGAAGAGTCGGTGTTCATTGTACAGCCTCAAACTAGATTGTATGTGAGGCCACGCGCGAGTATCTCGCGCCTGGCCGCTCCTTGTCTACCCAGTGTTGATCAAATACTAGAACATTATACTGACTGCGCCCTTTCTCTCTGTTTCTGTTGACATCGTCTAACCAAATAGGACGAGAAGAATCAACTACTTATAACAAATATATGGCTGTCATTGGTAAGTGTGTTAAAAGACAAACTTAAATTAATACTCGATAAAATTTCTATTTTATTTCTTCCTATCTTTTCCTTCGTTATTGTTTTCTTCTTCTTTTGTTCTTCTTGAAAGTTGCATTGCATTTCGGAGTATGCGGCAGTTTTTTTTGTAATTTCTTACTAAAGTTTCTTGTCAGTAGCATAGTAGTAGTGTCATGCATCCCATTACATTAAAGTAGTCCAACCTGTCATTTACCGTTATTCATTGGTATGTTAAATCCAAGTGGTTAATAGAAGATTATTGTCCCGTTTATATTAAAATCGAGACACGAATGGACTGCCGTGTAACCCGCAATGCATTAAATAACCATATAAGTTAACACTAAATTATTGCAATTAATTTATACAGGATTGTTTAACTTTGAATGTCATGTGTTGGTGAAGAATGTTTGTATATAATGTATTGAATTATAACCGATTTTTGTATAAACATAACACTGTAAATTGATTCTGCACAACCCGTTGCCCGCTACTATTATGTTTGCCAGAAATACTGTAGTATCTACTGCATGGCAATGGAATGTTACGGGGTCAAAATGTTCATATATTAAGATTTAATTAACGATGCAAGTTTTAATATGTTATTTAATCCGATATTGATGCTTTTTGTTTGATTTCGTTTTTTTTATTTAAAGCTAAAAGAAAATATAAATCAATCGCAGAGTATCCTACATTTTTGTGTACAAACATGTGTGTACTCATGCGTTTAAATATAAAATTTAGCATTTACCAATTTGGCAGCTTAGAAAAGAGACTTAGTTCCCCAGTTCCTTATAAAAATCTTTGAGGGCGGTCAATATATTCCCTAGGCCTGATCGTATTGTGATATAAACATAGCATGATTCAGCATGAGTCGATTGTATATAGTTGTGTGACGTCATCCGTGTTTGCGTGTTTATTACTGTTTCATATAATTTTTTTTTAGTGTTTTCCTCTATTTGAAGTTATTATTTTAATTTCACATTTTTGTAGTTTATAAAATAGCTTGTATTGTGATATTTATTTTATAAAGAAATTAATTCTTGTAGTAAATATGGTTACTACATACATGTTGGACGTCTAATTAATTTATTAAACAGTCATAAAAATATATCTAACTGGGGGTTGATGGCAATTGTGCCGTTACTATGAATAAAAGACTGTCGTGTCGAAAACCTCGATGATGAAAAAAAAGCCTGAACAATTATTGTTTCACCTAGACTCGAAGCAACAGGTTATGCGAGTAATAAACTGTGATGGCCAAAGTATATAAACTAATTTTCAGCCGCTATAGTAACTGGGACGTGAAAAAAGAATGGTACGCGTCGATTTTGATTGTTTAAAAGCAAAGACCAATCATAACATACGAAGAATTTCAAATAAAGAATTCACTTTACTCTCGATCTAGTCACTAAAAATAGTTTCCCAATTATAGTCCGAGCATGTGTGTAGAGGCCCCTGTACACATTGACAGTATACGCACTGTTATCAATGTTGAAAACTTTTGTAATATAGAGGTCGTGTTTGCGAGCGCTTTGTTGGAGCTATCTAAACGTTGCGTTATTGTTTCATAGCATATTTCAGCCAGCCTTGATTAGTTGGGGGCAATTTTGAAACTTATCGAGTTACCAGTCTACTAATACTATAAAATGACTTTTACACTGTCAGTGTACAGATTTGCATCAATGACAATTAATATAATATTTGATTATTTGTTAACACTTCGCTCCATGTACAGAAATATAAAACAATTGACATAATTAAATAAAAAGAAGGGCAACTGGCGGCTGTATCGCTTTCGAGCGATCTCTTCCAGGCAACCACTAGTATATGCAAAAACTTAAAACTTTAATATCACTATAGTGCTTAGAGCTTTTAAATTAAATAAATCTCATAATAAGATTCAAAATTGCTAAATAACAAACCTCAATATCACTTTCATAAATGCACTTTATATTTAATATAAAATGTTGGATACATTACCCTATCACTGATGTGTATTTTAAATGCGTGTGACAGGAATGGAATGACTACAACTTAAGATGGAATGACAGCGAATACGGCGGAGTGAAAGACCTGAGAATAACGCCGAATAAATTGTGGAAACCGGATGTACTCATGTATAACAGGTACACAAAAATTGCATGCGTTTTATTTGAAATTTAACTTCTCTTACAGACTTCTATACGGAATTGGTAAGGTATTTTCATATATATTATTCATTATTACCATTCAACCACCTTGAAATTTGAATATTTTTTAAAAGAAACACTTGCTTCACTACCTTATCAGAAAGTTATAAAGACGGAAAATAAAAACTGGTATTTTTGATTTTCGAATACGTTTGAAATTCGCATACTGAAAAACTTTAAGCGTAAGTGTTCGAATTTCGAAAAAGTTCAAAATTCGAACGCCTTAACGCCTCAGTGGTAAGGTACTCATATTATAATAGGGCTACTCGCGTATCTGTAATGTGCAAGTGCAATTTCAGAAAGGTTTTGTCTAAAAATAATTGGTATATCACTCAAAACATAACAGAATTACCAATCAGTACTACTTTGTCGCAGCTGTAGCGCTATTGCGCTTAATTGTCAGTCCCTGATAACTTAAATATTAAGTACTTATTACCAATATAACCATATCGGTTATATACGCCACTAAACTTTAGAGACGTAATAAAGATTTGGAAGAGACATGAAAATGACTACCAATATTTCATGAAGCGGTAGATGAGCTAACATTTCTTACATTACTGCTATCAATTTCATTCAATCATTTAATATTTCACATTTGGGAGCTGAGAGGCAATATATTCACCATAAAATATTGGAGTTTATTACCCAAACGGTACATGTTAACCACGATAACGGTTAAATTGTATTAGGATACTTTAGATCGATTTGGCGAACGAATAAAATCGCCGTTAAAATGAAATTGTATTCGAAAAGTATCGAAGAGAGTTCTAGAAGATATATGAAAAATTCTAACGTGTTATTCGATTTGATATAATTCCTTAATGAATCGACTACTAAAATACGTAATGCAACGTGCCTATGTTAAGTACAGATTGTAGTCTTCATCGACACAAATTCACTAATTTGTTCTTTCCGAATGCATGTATTATGCATGAGTCACAAATATCAAAATTGTTTAAGTTGCCTACAATTTGAGTCTCCTTTATTTCTTAGTGATCAGTGCCTAACCATTTAGAAGGTTTATATCAGGTTTACTCTCACATTAAGAATATATATACACGTAAAAATTAAAAACCTTTTTTGTGATCTAATATACTCTATAACTTAAAAAGCGTCTAGCATTTAAATAGTAGCAAGGTGTTAAATCGTATGTAAAAGGATTAATATTTTTATCTCAAATATGAAGCTGGCTGGCAGCCAGTTAGATACGTAGTCATAAACAGGTCGAAGACAGGTTTAAACTTGGGGACTTATTAAATTTATTCACCGAGTACACATTGGGTTCAATGTTTCGTTGTAATGGCGCTGACAATTGGGGAGCTAATTCGTAGGTACGAGTTCTTATACACAGCAATGGAGACATTTAATCTATATAATGTAATGTGATCTTATACGTTCACTTACATCACGCCTTTTTTCGAAGGAGTAGGCGGACACTACAGACTTCTTTGCTTCAGTCGTTTCATATTTCTCTCACTTTTAGTATCATAATATTCACCACAGACGGTCATCGGTAATGGTTGAATTTGATAATATAGTTTTTCTCTATACATAATTCTTTAGATGTAAAAGCAATTGAACAGCGATTTTTTTTATATTTTTGTTAAAAGGAAATCATATCATATTTTATATACGAGTAAAAAAAAAGCCAAAAAACCAAAAAGCAAAAGCCGTTGGGGTGCGAAATATAACGAATACAACCTAGTTTGATGTTTAGACTTTAGTTAAATAACTATTAAATAAAAGTTTAATTAATATTATTTATTTCAATATTCTTTATATGTGCAATTCAAAAAGCATCTCATCCAAGCCAAACTTAAGCTTGACTTTTACAAGTACTAGCGAATAAATGTATGTAATCTCTGAACCCACCATATGAAATAAATACCAAGCAACTACTACGATTACCTGACAACGTGAATTTCGACTTCAAACATTTAACTTTAATGGTCTGAGAGAGGAACTGCTATTTGCATTTAAATGGCCTGTTGATAGTTTAAGAGGGGGCGTCTCTGTAATATGTAAGCTCTGGTAAAGGCCGGGACTGTTTTCTATAGCAGTATTATAAAGGGGTATAATTGTCGTGATATATAATTACTAGCTGCCCCCGCGAACTGCGTTTCTTCTTAATGTGATTTTACTTAGCCTACCGTTTTCTTTATATAAACCTCAGAGTTCAAGTCTTAAGATTTTAATTAACAAATAAAAAATAAGGGTTGGTGATAGAGGTGTGAAAATTTAGGGTTGTATGTATTTTCTAATGGCACATTATAAAAAAATTAAAATTTCATCCAAAAAATTAAAATTAAATGTTAGGTTCTCAGACCTACTGAATATGCATATAAAATTTGATAAAAATCAGTCAAGCCGTTTCGGAGGAGGTATAGTATGGTAACTAACATTGTGACACGAGAATTTTATATATAAGATTTCTTGTTTTGTTCCTGTATTAGCTTTCGTTGTAGTTACATATAGTTGTTAGTATTCTTAAAGAAAAAAGTAAAACCGAGTACTAATTTAACTACGAGGTGAGACAAAGAGCAGCCTTAAAAGTTAACTTGCAAAGCAATCTAGAAAATAAACAATTACGCAAATGAACTAATTTCTGGTCGCGTTTACTTGGCAACTAACCGAGATACTACTGGAAAAATTAAAATGTTTATATGCCGTAACCAAACTGGAATGCCGCCAAAATAATAATTCAATTTATTTTCACTATTTATGATTGCGTTTAAGACCTTTATAAAACTTCATTATGCGTAGTTTTAAATTGGATGAACGTGAGTAAATTTTTGAAATAAATATGTATGTTATGGAAAAAAATAACACAATGATGAACAAAATACATTAACTACCTGTATGTGAAAAACATGATCATGAAACACATGACACATGATGCTGACATCCGAAAACGCGCTACGTAAGTCTCTGCGAAGGGATTCAGGAAAGAATGATTATAGAACGTAATTTATAAGATTACTTTTTTATACTAGCAGCTTAACCTGCGCCTGGATAAATGTATTTTTATAGACTATGTACCCAGGAATCATATGCTATTCTTATGATGAAAGAGTTCTTGAAATCAGTATTTTCCTCACAATCATACAAATATTTACCTTTAATGAAAAATTAATATTAGTATAGATATACTTATACTATAGAACAATAATGAAAGATGTTTTCGTATAGTATACATGAATAAAATAAATAAAAATAATGGAGGAAACACATATTGTACAAATATAATGCAAACGGGTGTTAATACAAATAAAAGGTTTTTCTTACTTCATCAATATTGCTGTGCTCATTTTTTCCTCTAACAAAGAATAAAGTTTTTATACATCTCCAATATAAGATTGGCGTCTACGAAAGAAGCTTTTTTTATTCACTTATTTTGTCAAAGCATTTTCTTCTGATCTTTATCGGAAAAGGCTTTCTGATTCTAACATAAATTAAGATATATATTTAACAAATTAATTGTAACGTTTTCTTGAAGAAATATAATACTTATTGTGATACATCTTACATTATAACTAAGATAAAACAATTAACCGACAATTAGTTAATGTCGACGATATTTGATTAAAAAGTAAAAAACAAAATTATAACCAAATTTTAGCAATACTTATAAGCCACTTACTTAGCCATATAAGCTAACACATATACTATATACATGTATAATATAAGAGCGTAGAAACCACATTAACAATTCACCAAAACTTTGCATTTAGTTTTAACTGATTGTTCATTTGGTGTGGTTTAATCCAGTTCAGCCTTCATAAACTTGTACAATTATTAACTTTGAAATTGGCTTATCTTTCTGTTGTTCTATTTAAAATTATTTGTGAGTTCATATACGTTCGCTAATAAATTTAAAAAGGTTTTTTGTAGTACTTTCAAGTTCATTCATTCTTAAAAGTATTCCTAGTAATATATTTATTTATTGATATGATTATACAGATTTACTTTTACATCACCTTATTTGGCTACAATAAAGACGGCTTTAAGCTCATTGTTATGGAACGTATTCATAAATGCACTTTAATAACCAAGTACTTATTACTACTGTGAATTTAATTATTGTCAATTTATACACCGAAAACTATTAGTATTGTATGTCAAATTACACCTTGTTTCAAAAGTAATACTGTTGGTTTAAATACATACAGTAAGCATCATAGTAAGTATACGTATCTATTTATATTTTACTTCACATATTAAAAATTAAAAAAATGTGACTGTAGAATATAAATTGATTACAATTTTTCTGACCGCTGTAACAATATTGTGTAGTATTCACAATAATAATCTTATACTTAGGAGCAAAAAGCTTTCTACTTCAACTACTAAAACAAAAAATTTAGATATATGATATAATATTTGATTAACAATATATAAATAAAGGATATATAATTAAGATATGTACATATGTACTTGTATCCCACACGTACACACCAATCAACTTTTTACAATTTTAAATTATACTATATTGAATCGAATTCATTTAATTATTTAGAGTTCTGCAATCGTGGTCAGCGAGAAACTACTCAAGCGACGCAAAAATATTCGTTTAAAGGCAAAATTATGTATACAAATTACTTAAATAATTCTAATACACAAACCCACATCAAACGATAACACCACTTATACTTTAAAAGGTGCTTGATCCCGTAAATGGCGGATAAAACTTAATTGTACATTTAAAACCGCTTAACTGGCTTCTATGAATTTCAAATAATGAGCAAACGGAATTTAACGGCTTGGATAGATCGCTATCAACGAATTTAAATACGTTAAAATTACTAAGTCTCCGTAGATTAGTTTACACTCTGATAAAACCTGATAAAACATTCATACATTATGAATAATAATGCAAAATAAACCGATGCTTATCTTAAAAAAGACGTTTATTTATTTATTTATTTATTTATTTATTTGTAAACATGAATTGAACAATTGATCATGTTTTGAACATGAAAGAATATTAAAATAATTTTAAGACGTGTACTTCAAAAATATAACTTCATTTTATTATATATAACTAAGAATATTATCCCTCCTTTCCGGAGAACGCGTTTTGGCCGAAATTCACCGATGTCCAGATTGAGCATTCTATTAAACGAGCTGGATCTGGACATCCATAGTTGCTCACCTCAGACTTTGAGAGCGATTTTCGTTTAGTGTTTGTTTAAATTTTATTATTGTTTTGATTAATTAATTTTATTACTTCTTGTATGCTATGTTTGCCAGTAAGTGTTTGACACATTGAAAACTGTATTTTATTTTTCTTCTGTCAATGTATTAACGTGCCAAGCGTTGGCAAGCTTTTATAAATAAATAAAATAAATAAATAAAATAATAAATGAACTCAATACAAAAACATTGAAAAAAGTTGTGAGGTAACAAATTGGTTCTAGGCTAGAAGTTTGGATGTCGTCCAAAACTGTAGGGCATTTGATAAGCAAGTCTCGGAATCACTTACAGATTTCTGTAATAGCAACCCGCTGCCTTGTTTACAGTTTTTCTGGTGGTCCACTACTGTGGGAATCCTTACACCAATGTGTGATATTTCTTTTCTTGTTTACTTTTTACATTTTACGTTTACATGTGAAAATAGGTTTAATAAGACTTTAATTGTAAAATATAGTCTTTCAATAATGACAAAAATTCAGTTCCATGAATCTACAAAAAAACTTCAGTATATTTACGTTGGCCTTAAGAAAATACTCATAACCTGTGAGGTGCGTTTTGAAGAATAACAGTAATGTACAAAAAAGCAACTCACGCGAAAAACAATGAAAAGCTACGATAGGCTTAAAACAGCATGCACTCGTAAATTCAACAGCAAGTTTGTACCAAACTAACGTAAATCCAACCGATAAAATCCTTTATTCCCAAGAATCGGTTTCAGAATACTTAATGCTTATCCGAAAGTCTGACTTTTATTCCGAACATCACTGACCGCTTGCAATGTTTACAAGATTCTATTCGGTACGTTGTGACAGGCGGCATAACAAAATATGCTGGCGTACGTCCAAACTGACGCGCTATACAATTCATGAATACAACCTCCTACTACCAGCTGGCTCGTGTTAAATTTGCACCAAATTCACTCATTGTTTATTCATTTACAAAGATTTTAAGTGCAAATATACAAGAGTTGTAATTTAACGTTTAATTTCAAATGAGTAGCTAATGATGCGCACCGGTGTATAATGTATTACGCGCTACGCACTGCTACGTGCGGCTACGATGAAGCTACATCAAATGTGTAGCAAACGGAATTTTCACATATATGTTTATTCTTTGAATAGTTATATATATATGATATATAAATATCTTAGTACGTAAATATGCTAAGCCTATTATTATATATACATATTAAGTAGTTGAAATAACAAACAAAATTACAATATTTATCCAATTGATATTATAGTTTTACATATAAACGTTTTCTTACAAGAGGTCAGTATTAAAACTACTTTCTTTTCACTCTAAACCTATGCACGATAACCTGCATATAATTTATTCATAAAATAAGCTTTGCTTGCATTTTATGAAATAAAACATTGCTTGAATATATCCTAACAATATATTTAACGTCTCTGGACTGCTGCTGAGAGTAAAACGCATCTACTTTATAAATATTACAAACAACAAAAGAAGATTTAATAAGCCAAGTCCATATAGATTCTAGTATATAAATTAACATGTACTTCTCATATGAAATGTTTCAATCCCAGACGCAATTCGGTACATGATTCTCCAAATTTCGAGAGTTATTAGTATAAAGAAAAAAAAATCTATCTGAAACTTTCAGTAATGCAAAAGTAACGCATGACTTGATAACGCTTATAACATGTATGTGACTTAGTGAAACAGTTCTTCGTGAAGCAATGCAATTACCTCAGAGCAGTCTAGTAAGACACATTTTTTTCAGAACGTATGACAACTCAGTAGGAGGTCAAGCCGATTTACGATTGGTACTTGTTAAAGTAAGAATCGTTTGCGTGAGTGGACCTGCTGCTTCGTGTTGCCATAATAACGTACACGGCATTACAGTCGCTGATTTGAAACACCACAGTCATTGTTTCGCTTATCAGATATTCAAAGACTACAGATGCTTAACAATACCAGTTTGTATAGAGAAGTAAAATATATAAATTGGTCGATTACATCTGACGTTTATCGATATTTATACAAAGATTGATTAAAAATGAAATTCACACCATTGTTGTTAAAATTTGTGAGTTCATTTCTCAATGTCAGTCTAACAAAGAAACATCTGTATAAGCGAAGGAATGATTTAAACATTTAATGATAAAGAGATTTAATTTTACGATATATTTTATCGTTGACTGAACATAAATAACGTCCCGATAAAACCTGAGCACTAAATAAATAATATAAAGCTACTTTATTTCGTTTGACACAAATAGACATTTAGATATTTTGCCTTCCTACGTTTAGAAATTAATGTTCTTTTTAAAATATTTTTTTAATAAATTTTATTTTAAAATCACTTTTCTGTAATTTTAATTGAATCTTAAACGATTTTGTAGATAAAGGGCACCATTTTGCTTGAAATATACATCTTTTTTTAAAGTTTGTTGAGAGATTATGGGGTGTGTTTTATGAATAATTTTAAATATTTATCCAAATCACCTATTTTAGGGTAAAGATATGAATATATTAGAATAAAAGTATTTATTGAACTCTTAAAAATAAAGTTTAACGCAGTTGATATTTTGATTTCCACTAGTTCTCCCTTGCAATCTAAATTAATTCTTTACTAATTTAATACTTATTAACGGCATAATTAACAATTTAAAAGTATTTTTATGACATATTCTATGTGTAACATATATGTTATAAAAACAAAAAGGTTTATACGATAGAGTTTAATTTGAGTCAATAATTGCTATAGCTTCATAAGAAGCGGATATAATATTATTAAAGGCATCAATGGCCTACTTTTATATGGGTCTATAACTGTAGTACGTTATGCGCATTGTTCAATAGTGCTGACGAGGGTTTTGACGGGACGTACCAGACGAATGTGGTGGTCAGAAACAACGGCAGTTGCCTGTACGTGCCCCCGGGCATTTTCAAGAGCACATGCAAGATAGACATCACCTGGTTTCCCTTCGACGACCAACACTGTGACATGAAGTTTGGTAGCTGGACTTACGATGGCAACCAGGTACTTGCCGATATCGTTCTTATTTTAAATTTAAACGGTGGTTTCGAATATTCAAATCATCAAAAACAAAAGCAGAAATGCCATTTCAGTTCCATTTTTGAATTCAGATTGTGAGCTAGTATAAAGCAAAATAAGTAACCCAGTCGATAAGAGGTTTAAGCTGAAACGATGTTTGAATGTTAAAGTTAAAAGCAAAAGTATATATTCGTGTTCAAAACAAGCGTAATCTGAAAAAGATGGTAAAGAAAAATATTTGCATATGTTAAATGTGAGTACTTTCTCTTTGAATTTTCATGCATATAAAAATCTAATTAATAAGCCGAGTGTAGTAAAAAATATTCAAGCTTGTTACGCTTTTACTCTTCGTCTGTTTTTTCTACGGCTCGGTGATTTTACCAGCGCATTCCTTTCAATCTTTGTAATATTAGTAATGAGCATTAAACAAGCTGTTTAGAACAAGTTGCCAAAATATCGTCTAACGTCAAGCAAAAGACTATGTAAAAAGAGAGTTGAAAGTTAAGGGAACCATGTGAGAAACCAGGAGGATAATTATTATTATCCTAATGATTTGTATGTACTATTTTGCATGGTGCAGAAGAAATAAATTCAAAATAAATTCTATTTTATCTGCCATACGGTTGCGCAAATTGAGTTGCATTTTGTAGTTTTTTAAACCATATTCGACTAAGTCTAACTATTTTGTTGTATGTTTCAGTTTTTTTGAATTGTTTATTGTTGCTTGCATTTTTTGCTGCGTACCATATGGCAGTGTTACTTAATAGTCGATGTAAACCGCATGAGATTTGGTTAGAAAACAATTGGTATAATCCTTGAAACCTAGCACTATTTGGTATTTGGTTCTCACATTTCCCCGTAAGAGATAGGCATGGTAGAGCATGTTATCTGGTGGTCATGGAATTCGTTTTTAATACATATTTTTTGATAGTTGGATCTGGTGCTAAAGGACGAATCTGGAGGTGACCTTTCAGACTTCATCACAAACGGAGAATGGTATTTAATAGGTAATTACAATCTTATAAACAAAACAGTGGACATCACTTCCACTTTACGATGGATATCATTCTTTATCGATTTTTGTATTAGTTATACTGGTTTAATTTAAGTGGAAAAAGGTTATTAAAAAGAAATACATACACCTTTTCAATTATTGTTTGTACAAACCCTTGTATAAACTTTCAATTTATATAATGGTGAATTTTTTGTAAGAATTTGTTGCTTGTTGTCAATAAGTATTTAATAGTGACATCATACTATGTATCTCATATATATTCATTACTATATATTATAGCCTATTCGAAATACGACGATTACGAGTACGTCAACATATCATTTAGAGAAATTGTAGTAATTATGAAGAGCTCTAGTAACTAGATTTAACATAAGTTTTCGCAACAATTTGCCTATTTACAATTTACTTTTCAGGGATGCCTGGAAAAAAGAACACAATAACATACGCATGTTGCCCAGAACCATATGTAGATGTGACGTTTACAATAATGATAAGAAGAAGGACTTTATACTACTTCTTCAATTTAATAGTACCGTGTGTTCTTATATCTTCAATGGCTCTTCTGGGCTTCACATTACCACCAGATTCAGGAGAAAAATTAACACTCGGTAAGTGTGAATACAATCGGAACTTAAATACAATTTCAGATCGAGTATTTATGTTAGTTAATTTTCACTTACGTCGATTCCATGCCACGAATTGTCGGTAACTGGTACCAATAGGTGTGACGATATTGTTGTCGTTGACTGTATTTCTGAACCTGGTTGCTGAAAAGATGCCTATAACTTCAGACGCGGTTCCTGTCATTGGTAGAGTGACCCATAGGATGTGGTAGTAAGCCGTACGTACGCTGCATAAAAGAATAAAAATCGGTTGTCGGTAAAGTCGGTTTACCGACGATAGTTGAACGTGACAACGTCATGAATGAAAATACTGAAGGAATGGTTGCATTTTTCAAAAGATAAGGTTAATTTTATTTGTTTGATAGATATATTCTATGGATATAGAGAAGGAGGTAAATGGAAATCACAATTGAATTGTTCGATTACTATATAATCGATATTATACGATATATACTTTATATACAATAAAGATGTCGATCGCTGCCGAACGCGGAGGCCGATTGTGCCTCTTTGTCGCTCGTTCCGCGCTCTCGCTTGCACTTAAATGGTACGCCGCGCCACGAGGTAACGCCGCATGCGTCATGTTTTTTCGTGCGTGCAGCCGGCTCCATCGAATTATAAGACGTTGTCACGTCAAAACAGAATTTACAATTGAAGCAAATATGTGTTGAATAAAGAATTATTAGTTTATTTTATCTTTTATAAGATTAAAAACAAAGCAGCGTACGTAACCACTAGGTAATCGTGTACACCAGGTGTTAGATTTGACATCGTCAGCGTCAGTAAGACACTTCGTACAACACAACCATCAATCAAGGAACAAGGCTCTGCGTGGAGAGTTGAGTAATGTGGTCGAGGCAGGTTTAACGATGTGTTTGATTTCAGGAGTCACTATTCTTCTATCGCTGACGGTGTTTCTCAACCTGGTTGCTGAGACCCTGCCGCAAGTTTCCGACGCAATTCCCCTGTTAGGTACACTACCCACACCTTGCGCGTCCGAATTGTTTCTTCCTTTCGTCCCAATTTGTTTTTCACTATCTTCATAATTTGTTTTACCCTTTTTTTAAATTCTTATCTGTCATTATCATTTCCTTCCATTAAATAAAAAAATAAAATACATTTTAAAACATTACAAGAAGTAAACGTTTCGTTATATAGTTGAGATTAAACTTTTCTGTATCAATTTCTAAATTTGTTATGCGCTTGGCTTGTAAAATTATTGATAATATAACTGACATTTGAAGATATGTAACGCTTTATTTTGGTTAATTTTAATAGTTTTTTTTATTTGTTTCAAGATCTTGGAATCGATTTCGTAACCCTTTCAATCACTTATTTTTAGAGTAACACTGTCATTCCAATACTTGGATTATTGAAAAGCCTTTAGGTTTTACGATATTACACACCTATTATGCTTACATACTAGCTAACGCCTTGTGGCATTTCTGCGTGAAATTGTTTATATTTTAAAATGCCTCGGAAACTGGCAGTGTAACAAATGAACACTTTAGCATCTCTTTCTCAATGATTAATATATTATTATAAATGGATACTGATTGCATGGCATGGTTGTTAAATTTCAATTTTCTTACTCTATAAGCTCGAGGTAAGTTTTTGTTTAATTTTTGTAACTTTTTTAACGCAATCGATTCCAGAGTATTAATGTTGTATTTGGGTGTTGTATTATATTGTATATAACAATTTAGATACTTGGAGGGCAACCTGGGCTTGGCTGTTACTTTACTCTTCCCTTTAAAACATAAAACTAAATTAAAAAAATATCTAAAATAGTTTCTGCATGTTTCTGTTCTGTTTATGGTTTTACTTGAGCCCTGTACCAACTCTGCACACATACAGGAACTGTGTATAGACAAGTGTCGTTATCGGGGGAATCCATTGCTATGACTATGGAAACGTAGATGATAATTATCATAGATTATATGTTCATCTTTGCAGGTGTTACAATTCTCCTGTCACAAACTGTTTTCTCTCTATTGGTGGGGCACGTCATCACTAAAACGTCAGAGGCGATCCCCCTAATAGGTGAGAAACGGGCAGTCGCTGTAAAATTACGCTAAAAGTTCTTCTAAATTTTCACTAAACGAAAGTCGAAGAATGAGCGATGAGGAAGAGTACCTTCCACGAAATTCCTCTACTCATTCTCGAATAAAGCCTAAATAGAGATCAGTTTTGCTTGTAAATAAAAATTAATCAAACTTTAGATCCCATATCTAATTCTTTGCTTAAAGGAACGGGTAATTGTATTAGATTTCCGATTAGTCTTCTTATTCGAAAGGAATCTTCTTGTAATGTCTTAAAGTACTCCTTCATACTGTCTATCCTAAGCTCATTTCATTTCCAGTAGCACTGGTGACTACTGACGATAGATAACGTTAACGCATGTCTTAAACAAAAAAGTAAAGCACAACTCTCCTTAATTGACTTTAGCTAAGAAGCTTAAAATATGCAGGAATGGTTTTGCTTGTAGATGTTTAAACAGTTCGAAGTAAAATAGCAGTTTGTCGACTGAATGCGACATAGAGGGTAGAGAGCCCATCCTCCAAGTATCTCCTGGATAGGCCGTTCATCCGGTCTGCATGAAAAGTACTGTCTAACAAAAGCATATTGTCAGGAACATCTCTTTGCTTATGATCTTTACCACTTCTGTAAGCTATTACTGCACAGTTTTAAATTTTTAAATCTGCATAACATAATATTAAATTTAAATTGTAATTGGCTAAACAGGAGTTAACAATTTTGGTTTCTTTGCATGCTTCAAGTTTGCGTTTTGCATGGCTTATATTTGTGATATACAAAAATTTAAATCTGTGAAGTTAATTCAAATGCTTTCTTGACTTTTATTAATAGTAACGTAAATGTATATAAAATTAATAATAATTTTTTAATTATATCACAAGGTGTAACAGTTGAAAAATAACTTCTAATGTAACAATAAATGGTTTAATTTGTGTGTTTATTCCTATAACAGGGACGTACTTCAATTGCATCATGTTCATGGTGGCTTCGTCAGTAGTTCTGACTGTAGTAGTTTTAAACTACCACCATCGAACTGCTGATATCCACGAAATGCCACAATGGGTAAGTATAAAGTTTATAATATATAAAATTAATACTGAAAAAAAACATGTTTTAAGAGGGTATTACGATTGGACTTTTTCAAAAATGCTAGTCTTTAGTTTAGAAATTTTGTTACAGATAAAAACTGTGTTCCTACAATGGCTGCCATGGATCTTGCGAATGTCGAGACCAGGGAAAAAAATAACTAGAAAAACAATAATGATGTCTAATCGGATGCGAGAATTAGAACTAAAGGAGCGTTCTTCCAAATCTCTCTTAGCTAATGTATTAGATATAGATGATGACTTTAGACATGTGCCTCAACCGCCGAACAGTACTGCTTCGACGGGCAACTTAGGACCCGGGTAAGAGCTACTTTGCCAGTAATACATAATATATGAAATAAAAGTAAGAACTATTTCATAAAAAATATATTAGGTTGAAGATATCGTTATATTCACGAACACAATTCATGTTCAATATTATAATACACACGCGTACCTACATAGTGTACGTACGCAAAAATTTGCAGGTATACAAAATATATTAATATTGCACCACTTTTTGCTTTAGTAACTTATGTACCATGAGGCCTTAAATCTACGATCATCTAACGATACTTGTCAATCTGACCAGGGTTACCAACTTACGTGAAACTAACGACGCTTACCAACTTACATTAAACTAACGACGCCTACCAACTTACGTGAAACTAACGACGCTTACCAACATACGTCATAGTAACGACGCCTACCAACTTACATTAAACTAACGACGCCTACCAACTTACGTGAAACTAACGACGCCTACCAACTTACGTCAAACTAACGACGCCTACCAACTTACATCAAACTAACGACGACTACCAACTTACGTCAAAGCACGTTTGCTAACTTACGCGCCGGGAACTGCGCAATAGCGCTTGTTCACCCAAAATTCATTTATTTTTGTTAACAGCTGTTCAATATTTAGAACGGATTTCCGTCGATCGTTCGTGAGGCCGTCAACGATGGAAGACGTGGGGGGTGGTCTGAGCGGCCATCACCGTGAATTGCACCTCATTCTGAGAGAACTGCAGTTCATTACCGCACGAATGAAGAAAGCTGATGAAGAGGCGGAGCTGATAAGTGACTGGAAATTTGCTGCGATGGTTGTTGATAGGTAATGATCTTGAAAATATTGGTAAAAAACAGCAAGATATATTTAGACAATAAAATTTAAAAAATAGTCACGTACATAAGATATAAATTTGGAATGTTTGAAAAAGTGCCCTTCTGCTCCGTGCCCTTACTCGTAAACCGCAGAGTACTGGGTCTTTGGTGACCTTTATTGCTTCAATTTTAACTGTTACTCGACTCGACGAACGTTGATTTGCTAGACTCTTGTAAAATACAAAAGCTAGAGGCGCTACATCCCTTTTAGATCTGGGTCTCAGGTCTGTATGTGTTTCGTGATCATTTGTCAATCTAAAAGACAAGTAGGTGATCAGCCGTCTATGCCTGACACACGACGTGGACTTTTTCGCTATAAGGCAAGCCGGTTTCCTCACGTTTTCCTTCACCGAAATAATCACAATCTATGATTGGCTCTAACTGGAAAAAAAATGGTTGCTGATTTTTTGCTAAAAAAAAAAAAAAAAAAAAGGTAATTTTTGTTATTATTATTATTATTTTTTTAATTTATATAATGCTACAAATGTAATTATTATTTTTTTTGTATCTCACACACTGTTTTGTTGTGTTTTTTTAATATTTTTATTACTCTTTAATGTTAATATTCTAAGGTTTCGATATTTGTAAATATGTGAGGAACATGTATACTAACTTTTTTAGTATAGTAGTTTATTCTAAGAGTACATTGTCTTCACATATAATTATTTAACAAATGTAACAAAATATTGTAAACCTATTTTAAAGAGTAAGTTGGAGTTTCTTGCCCATTCTTCTCCACACAAACTACCTTTGGAAGGGGCAACTAGAATCATCTTTATATATTTTTTTTTGACGTTCAAAAGTGCCATTTTAGATGGTCTAATTGAAATAAACGATTTGACTTTGACTTTGACCGTTCGAGCGAATGATAAATGCGCACATAGAAACATTGGTCCACAGCATCAAGGATGAGTGTCGCCCGCTGTAGTCATTAGGCCAACACTGGCTCTAGTGAAAGATTGAGAAATCTTACCTGATTAATATTATAGACGAGAATCTTTCTTTGCAGATAACCAAACAACTTACGTATTATGCCTTATAGCTATTGTGTTTCGCAGGTTCTGTCTGTTCGTGTTCACACTATTCACAATCATCGCGACAGTCGCCGTACTCCTGTCAGCTCCTCATATCATCGTTCAATAACAATAAACCTAGGTCCGAATCGCAATTCTTCGAGAGAACTAATCTTAGTAACTATTCTAATTATATGTACTATTATACTACTCAAATACGTGGTCTATATACACGTATACTATAATTAAGTCGAAAGACGGTAAACTATGTCATACAGCGCCGTATTGAGTGTCGTTTATTAGTAGATTAATATTTAACAGCTACGAAATTTAATTCCCTATTAGTTAACAACTGTTCTAAGAAATGTTCAGTCACAGTTCTATTGTTAGCCTTTGGATTAATAAAATAAGAAAAACATTGTTTAGTTATCAATTAATTAAAGCAAACTAAAAGATAAAATTTATTATGTATTATTATTAACAACACCGATTTTCAATGAGCCCAATATGGTTATATAACATAAATCTGTATTCAAAATTCAAAATGTCTTTATTCAATAACAAGATACATTGTTTAAGCAGGTATTGGAGCCCCTGAACCGAATCTAGGGAGACCGGTACATCAGGGTACTCCGCTCTTCCAACGCTTTAATGAAATTGTAACTTAACAATCGTTACCAAAATACTATATAAAGAAAACTAGCAAAACTGAGACTTACTACTAAAATATAGATAAATATATTAAATGGCTCAAACTATTAATCAACGACCTTGAGTACGGCTGTTAGAGTGTTAAGAGCAACATAAAAACAATTGTGATGTTGAATAGGAATTAATACATATTAATGTTGAATTGTTAAAATGTATATTTCTAAACGCATTTAAAACACCCGCTTACTAATTATTCGTGTTATTATAAAGGAATTGTATCTGTAGTCGACTACAGTTTAATTAATGGAATTTAATGGGAATCAGACACTGCAAAATGTAAATGTGGGAACATTGACGATGACATTACCTTAGATATAGTGTACATAAGCTAATAGTCAGCTATTAGTAGAAGCGATAGCTCAAGTAGAAAGTGTAAATGGGGGACTGATTCTATTGCGATTTTGGATCATTGAGTAACAATAAGATACCAAAACTAACAATAGGCTAACAGTATTTATAATCAAGACATGATCTTAATCGGCCCCTTGCCGGTCGTTGTCTATTGTAAATAGGTGGAATCAGGTCCCAGATTCCATTACATGAAATTGGTTATCGGAAAAAGATATCCAATTTGAATTTGGAATTGTGGCATTAAGATAAGAACCAAGCACATTAGAGACAAAAATCAAAACCAAGTAGTATCCTGAGACTGGCTGAAACCTTAGAGTACCACTAAAAATCGCAGGATTGCAGGATTTCATACTCTTTGGCTATGCCCATCATAGGACTTGATTACTATAACTTAGCGTGTATTGTAGATATAATTACATATATTGAGTATCGTATTCTATATTAATTCATGGTACAATGATATACGGTATTACAATTTGGAAATTCTCATACTGATGAAACGTATTGTGTAATTATCGCAATTAAAATGTATTGCTGGTATTACCTTATATGATTGTAGCATGTATTTTAGTCACATTATTAGTATTGAAGTGTAGGACTGAGCAACTTCTACGTTAACGCTTTTAATCGCGAAGTACAGTTACCACAAGTTTTAGATTGGTTGGTGAGTGATTTTATAGAAAAATAAAAATGTAAAAAATTTATATTATTTAAAAAAACCTTACTGGATAAAGTCCCTATTAGACAATTTATGTGTAAAGTGTTGACATACAAGATAGGGCAAACTGCATTTAAATCGTGAATTTAAACTCTAATTAAATTATGAAAATTTTTCTTGAAATTGTTTTATTCGGACCGCCGAAATGATAAAATTTTATTGTGTTTCACTTTAATTGCAAGCAAACTGAATTTAAATAGAAAAAAAAACATTAAAACCTCATTCAGAAAAACAAAAGAAATGATTCATCTATAAATGTTGGTATTCTGGTGCTCAGTCTTCACTGTATCGACGTACTTTATCTATGTCCGTTCCTCAATTTCGCTCTTATAGATGTCGTGATAGGCTAGTTGTCGTGTCCCTCTTTAATAGATTAACATCATTAATTACGTAATAAGGAAGCTCACTAATTAGTGAAGTAAATAGAATAATGTTAAATTGTTTCAAAATCTTTTAATGACTTTTTATAAACGTATTTCGTTACTTTTCGTTCTTTCAAAGAGTTAATGTAATTTTTTAAGTCTTACAGTTGGTGCTGAAGGTATATCACGATTATTATCTATTGTGACATATTTCCTTCTTTGTACCTATTTGTTATTATTTAAGATTTTTATATAGTTATTTCAAATCTTAAATTTTTAAACGGTACGATAAATTACGTGCCAAAATTAACGTGTTATAAATATCGATTTAAGTTCGATTGTAGGCGGTTAAATAAATCATAAATGAGAGATTTATAGTTAAATTAAACGAAATAGTGTCTTTGTTAATTTTTATCGTTAATGTTGGGACATTGGGCCCCGTCAATTGGGGAAACCAGCCAATTTTCAAAGCTTAGTTATTTAATATTCAGAGGTTGTGAATTATTGAGCACGTTGACGGCGCTCCAATGTTTGCTAAAATGTTAAATATAAAATGAGTAAATGGATCTAAATTAAAAAAACTAAACCTGCCTAGGACGAGGTAAATTTCAAATATTTGCGTAGTTTTATTATTTGACAAAACTGGATTAGTTAGGAAATAACAGGTACTTTTAAATAAGAAAATAAAGCTGCCATATTTTAATGCATCAATTACATAGATAGGAACTAATAATAATGAAGATCGCCGAACTTGATATTTTTCATACATTCGCTTACGCATTCCTACTTTGTCAAAACATTTTTGGACCAAATCGATTTCACAATGCACCTAAGCACAACCGAAACTAAATGCTTTAAACTTGAAACAGGTATTTTGAATTTTACTGACGCTTCACACCTTGAAATATAATGCAGTCAGAAGTTTTTTATATCAAGGATTTTCAACTTTACTGTCATCAAAATAGGGCTGAATTTTAAACAGATTTTTGGTAATTTAATACTCTATATATCAAGTCAAGCATCAAGTTAATCGATTCAATGGTTACTATAAAATCGTGGTCAATCAACGCAAAGTATTGGCCGTAGCGCTACCTATTTTGACTGGAGTACCTACTTAAATTTTTAATATATTTAATCTAAGATTTTTAATTCCCCTCTTCCATGACGTATCAAAAAGCAACACAACCGAAGTTTTTTTATCAAAAACAAATTTTATATTTTAATTATATTCTGTCAAGTTCGTTATTCAAAATCCTACGCTACTTTACAGTGTATTTAAAACGATCGCGTTCCTTGGATATGATTGGTGATTGGCTGTTGACCAATCACAATCAAGCGACGCGATTTACAATTGTTTTTAAAATTGTATTTTATTAGGGAAACTTCGGTCACATGGGATAGATTAATTCAAATATAGAACTGCTCTCGAAACACAGCCTTCTTCCAAGGATATGATGTCATTGGAGAATTGGTCCGAAGACGTTTCACAGTATATTTAACCAATTATACCCAAGAACGTCATATTGAATGGACAGCTCATAATGGATAGAGAGCTTTAATCTTAAACATTGTTAAACCCGATACTATCTTCCTTTCAACCCCACACAAAGCCTATTTGAGCCTTTTGTAGGCATTGTAAGCTTATTCAACTATTTTCTTGTAAGATTTGCTATGTACAATAAAAGCAGATATAAAGATATTTTTAAAAATTGTGTTAGATTTTGTATAACTTTTATTTTAATTGTAAGATACGATCATGTAGATTCACATGTTTAATTAAATATTGTATTATACTACATAAAGCCACTTCTTGTAACCATATAGTTTCATGAATAAATCATACATACAAAGCAACGTTCTCTATAATATTAATTCATAAAGTAATTTCAGAGAGATTCAGGCTATTGTCAATAGAAAATATGTTATAAATATAATTTTGTTTAAAAAGTTTTAGTAGATATTGGGAAGTGGATTTACCGTAGTCTCACGTTTTATTACGTACGTTTTATTCTGCTAAACTGTAATCATGAATTTTCGTAATTACTAAGCTTTTAATTTGTAAAAACTTCATGAACGTGTCACGCTTCTTACATCATATATTTTTCTCATTCCGAGTTGTGTTCCTGTGGTAAATAGTCAAAATAATTAAAAGATTTAATATGACTGCAGCTAAGATAAACCGACTAATGTAAGTTTGTAAAGAAGCCCCTATGGAGGCATTTGTAATAGATGTCACTAAATAAAATGAATAAATTTGTAAAAAATATTTAAAAAACAACGGGTAATACGGTTATTCGTAAAATTATCGTAAGTAGGAGTCGATTTGTATTAAACTAAAATTAAAGCAATCTGATTTATAATATTCTGTTTTATTTCGTCCTATCGTCAATTTAATGTATTTATAAGCTCACAATGACACACAAAAATACATAGAATAAAAATCACAGCTACATATTTCTTTCCTGAAAGACATCGCTTGTTTATAGTTTAAACTCAAATAGCTTTTTCATGGTTGTGCTAACATTTATAAATAAGTTTAGTACATAAAAAAGAAACAAAACTGATATGCTATGGCACTGCAATCGCGTATGAGCGATCACTTTCAGTCATATATTTAGAACAGACAAAGGCTAGGTGTATAATTGATCACAAACTTTAAATCTTACTTCAGAAATTACCTAAAAGTAGTATTTACGTCAATTTTACAATGATGAACGGTTCTATAAAATGTTTCGCCCTACAGAAGAGCCTGTACATCTCTCCTCTTCCAGTCAAAGTATGTGATCAATCGTGGAATTTACGTATTACCTTCTTTGGTCTTCTTTAATATCTTCTTTTACTTACTGAAAATTCTTTGACTCAAATTATTAAAAAAATTGTAATTCTTACAAAACCGTGAATAAAATCATCGCAGAAAAGCTTAATTTTACTCTATAAAGCAAAATGTAAACATGCAAAAATCTCCACAACAAGGCAATTAGACAAATT